GCAAGATGGTATCTCATTGTTGTTTTGATTTGCATCTCTCTAATAGCTAATGATCATTGACCATGCATCTTAATACCCAACACAACATTTTAATTTCTTCTCATCTCTGCCCTTGACCTCTACCAAACTCATCTCTGCCCTTGACCTCTACCAACCTGTTTTCCAGTGCATTGTCTCTGATTTGTTATCAGACAGAGCAGCTCCCCTAAAGCCAAAAGCTCTTGGTTCTTAACTTCATTTTCCTTCCTGGGTTCTCTGGATCTAGTTTTTCTTCTGCTAGAGTTCTCTTTCCTTCCAGTGTAAAAAATCCTACATTTTCTTGTCATCTTCCTAGGTTGGAGATTTTCCTACCCATTTTCCTAATGAGCATAACAAAGGGATCTAGGAATAAACACAGGTAGACATTGCAAGAGAAGAAAGGCAGGATATAGAAGTATATTATTTTTAAAATTTTGTTACATTCTTTCATGCTAAAGAATTATAATACTGATACTCTTTTATTGGGATTTGATGAATACATTCATGGTGCATATATTCATTTCTCTATAGTTAGAAAAAAAAAATTTTTAAGAAGAATTTAGTTATAAGAACAAATCACAAAGTTGTATTTCTAACTTGCTGCCAGGGAGGAGAACTGAACCAGGTCAATTCAGAGACTCATTTTATAGTAGAAACATATATATAGGAAAGCAAGAGGGGTTAGATAAGTAAGAAAAGAATAGCTGAAGATCTTTAGACGCTTGACTGACATTCAGCTGAGTAGGTGGATAACTAAGTTCCCAGAGAACTTCCTTAACCTTATAAAAATTCATCCAAAATAGCTTGAACTAAGAATTAAACTAGGAATATTAATTTCTTACCAGAAGAATTTTATGAAAACATCATGCGGAAAGTTCTGCTCTGGACAGTTTTTGAGACAAAATTTTCTTTATACCATAGTTGGTTTTATAATCAAATCTGTCTCTTCTGCCATCAGGCCTTTCCTCATTATTACCCTTACTTGGAATGCAGTCCTCTGGTGGTGCCATGGTTAAGGCCAAAAGGTCAGAGGTTCAAACCTATCAGCCATTTTGCGGAAGAAAGATCAGGCAGTCTGCTTCCATAAAGATTTACAGCTTTGAAAACCCCTTGTGGGTCTCTATGAGTTGGAATTGACTTGATGGCAGTGGGTTTGTTTGTTTGTTTGTTTGTTTTCTCATCTCTCCAGTCCTTTAAGGGTTAGGCTTTATCTTTTCTATCAGATCTATGTGACTTCTTTAACCTTCAGTGATACTTCTCAAAACTCTTTTTATTGTAACCTCTACAAGCAGTTACTCAAAATAATGTTTTATGTAATTGTCTTAAAGTAATATGCTAGACTTAATAATTTTATATAAGATTTCAGTGTAGCAAAAAAAAATTATAACCAATTCTGACTCATAGTGACCCTATAGGACAGAGTAGAACTGACCAAAAGAATTTCCAAGGCTGTAAATCTTTACAGAAGCAGACTGCCTTATCTTTCTCCCATGGAGCGGCTGGTGGGTTCAAACTACCAAATTTTTGGTTGGCAGTCGAATGCCTTGACCTCACTGCACCACCGGAGCTCCAATTAAAAATGTACAGACAGCTGAAAAAAGTACCATGCTTTTTTTCACTTACTGGAAATTTATATATTAATTATAAATGTCATTTTTGTTGTTTATGTGACTTTGACTTTGCTCATCTGTTATACAGAGATTGAATTTGATCTCTGCTGTTCCACTCAACTCTGAGATGCTGTGATTTAATCAACAATTTGTTCACTTTTTTTAGAATTTGGAGGGTTTTTTCTTTTGGGGAAGTTATTTATGTGACTTACATTTATGTAATTCAAATAAGCAAGCAAGCAAAGGATTTCTTTCCATAATGTTGGAATATGGAGGTGCCTATTTACTCATTCCTCTTCTTTCTACTAAACCAGTTGAAAAATAGATATAGGGAAAGATGAGGATGAAAACATAAATTTTATTGAGGATAAAATCAGGAGTACATGGATGGAACCTGAGTCCCAAATGGCACTTTATACTTTATCTTCCCTAGAATAGTCTCCTAGCAGGTTAGAGCCACCTAACATGTACAGCTAAGGAGCTCTGGTGGCATAGCGGGTAAGACATTTGCTGGCTAACCAGAAGATCATTGGTTCAAACACAGCAGCTGCTCTATGGAGGAAGATGAGGCAGTGTACTTCCTTAAACATTTACAGCCTTTGAAACCCAATGGAGGTCACTGTGAATCGGAATCAGCTTGATGGCAGTGGGTTTTGTTTTGTTTGGTAACATGTACAGTCAATAGTGACAACTGGAGGAGCTAGAGCAGAGACCTCTGTAATCTGTAGACCTCTTTTGTGTCTGCGTGCAGCAAGGTTCATGATAGCCTGTCTTGCGTTTGAGTTTTTAAAATCTATTAATAATGTCATTGAACCATGAGTTGGCATCTGTGAGAGGATAGAAAAATTCTTCCTTAGCGTGGAGTTGATGGTGGAAACTTCCTCTTCTATAGGTCAAAGTGATAATGTGAGAAGAGGAGGACTTTCTCTAAAGGGAGTTTGCAAGTTGGTGCTATTGTTTCCTTTCTTGTCATCCATAATTTGCAGAACTGTCCAGAATCATTTACTTTCATATGTTTTTATAGTTGAAAATTTTCTTTACATGTGGAGCAGTTAAAGTGTTTGCTCATCTGAGATTTCATTTAAAAGGATACTAAATATAGGAAATTCTGTCATTTCATCCTCTTGTTAATTTTCTTTCCCTATCCCTATCCTAAGGAGCTCTGGTGGTGCAGTGCCTAAGACATTTGACTGTGAACTAGAAGGTTGGTGATTCAAACCCATCAGCCATTCTGTGGAAAGAATACCAGGCAAATCTACTTTCATGAAGATTTACTGTCTCAGAAACCCAGTGGGGGTCGCTATGAGTCAGAATTGACTCCATGGCAGTGGGTTTTTGTTTTGTTTTTATCCCTATACTAAGTCCGCCTCAAAATAAAGACAGCCTTTAGGAGGACTATAAGAGCATCTGTATGAACTGATTGTGTTAATGAGCCTCTTCTGTTTTTAAATCATTGATGCTTACAGTACTGTCTTTTTTCAGCACCAGTGGGTAGAGCTACCTCCTTTTCTCTTCTAGTTTCGTTCCTCAGTTACTACTGTACATACTAGTGCCAAATACAATAGTAGAAGTCCTTAGAGAAACAAGTGAAAAGTGACAAAAAGTAAAGTGTAGGTTTTTATGTGAGACCTTTGGAAACCTGCAAATGTTCATACCATGTATTTTATAAGCATCCTTTGTTATCTTATATATTCATTAATGGTTTCTTGTTTTGACTCCATAATTAATTGCCACTTCTGTAAGATGTAGAAATCATATTTTAAACCCTATCTGTAAAGTAATAGCATCTGAGTCTGTCTGTGTTCGGAGAACGAATGCGAATTGGGAACAGTGCAAGGCTAGTTGCTGTGAGATGGAGGTCTTGGTTCTGCTGCCATGTCTCTGTCGTCCCTCCTCACTGTCTCAGTGCAGGCATTGCACATCCAGAGGACAGGCTTCACTCCTGCCTTTTCTTTCTTGATGATAGTGAGATCCCCCTTTCTGTCTCTCTTACTAACGAGATTTTGATAATCATGGTCTTAAGATGTAGCTTTATGTTTACTTAAAATCTGTCTTCTTTGTACTTATGCAGTTTAGTTCCATGCCCTTACGTAAATGATCTGCATGGTAGATACTGTTCTCCTCTAGAGTCAGACCTGCACAGTCCATTATCGTAGCCACCAGCCATATTTGGCTATCTAAATTTAAATTTAATTAATTAAAATAAACTTTTCAGTACTTTAGGGACACATTTCAAGTGATGTGCGTAGTGGATGTTTTGTTGGACAGTACTGAAAACCCTATGGATTGCATTTCTGCTCTTACACACATAGCGTTGCCATGAGTTAGAAGTAACTCAATGGAAACTTCTTGTAATTTTGTTATAAGCTGCCGCTGAGTTGTGCCCCACTCATGGCAGCCTCATGCACAATGGAACAAAATGCTGCCCAGTCCTGTGCCATCCCTGTGATTGGTTGCAGATCTGATCATTCTGATTCAGAGGGTTTTCATTGAGTGAATTTTTGTGTGTGTGATTTTGGTGAAAGTTTAAAGGGCAAATTAATTTTCTGTATAGCAGTTCATATATATTTTGTTTCATACGTTGATTACAATCCCCATAATGCAATAGCTCTCTTCCCACTTTCTCCCTGTGATTACCTTTTCCCTGTGTCCTTCTTTCCTATGCATTCCTGCCTTCTAAGCTATATCCCCGTGCAAATACTGCTCTTCTGATCTCCCATGGTTGATTGTTCTAAGGAGTGTACCTACCCAGTGTAATTGTTCACTTTATACACCTGTCTGGCTGGAAGCCACAGGAGTGAGTTCAGTTCCAGGTCCAAAGGGTGACTAAAGGCCATAGTCTCAGGGGTTTCATTGATGTCTGTCAGACCAGTAAGCCTGATCTTTTTGTGATTTTGAATTTTGTTCCACATCCTTCTTCCACTCTATCCGGTGTCTTCTACAATGATCCCTTTCTGAGTAGTTGACAGTGGTAGCTGGGCACCGCCTAGTTCTTCTGTTCTCAGGGTCATACAGGCTGAAGTTCACATGGTCCACTAGTCCCTCGGACTAATTGTTGGCATGTATCTTTGGTTTTCTTCATTCTTCTTGCTCTGGACAAGGAGAGACCAATTGTTGCATCTTAGATGACCTCTTGCAAGTTTTTAAGACCTCAGTCACTACTCACCAAGTAGAATATAGAACAGTGTTTTTATGTAATATGTTATGTCATTGGCTGAGTTTTTGGATGTAGATTGCCAGGCTTTTCTTCCTAGTTTGTCTTAGCCTGGAAGCTCTGCCGATACCTGTTCAGCATCATAACACCATCCAAGCCTCTAGTTACCAACAGTTGATGGCTGTGCTTGAGGGGCATTGGCCAGGAGTCCAACCTCAGTCTGCTGCGTGGAAGGGAAGAATTTTACCACTGAATCATCACTGCCCTGTGGTTTAATGTTAGTGTCGTAGAATTAACTGGGAAGTATATTTGCCGGAAAAGTTTACATGTAATTGTTACTCATTCTTAAAAGTTTCATAGAATTTACTCATGAAGCCATCTGGCCTTTTTCTTTGTGGGAAGATTTTTATCTACAAATCCAATTTTATTTAACCATGCAGGGCTATTTTGGTTATCTGTTTCTTCATGAGTGAGTTTTGATACCTGTGTTTAGATGAATTCACCCATTCCATCTAAGTCATTGAATTTATTGGCATAAAGTCATTTACAATATTCCCTTATTATCCATTTAATATCTGCAGGATCTGTAGCAATAGCATTTCCCCCTTAAATTCCTATTATCGGGTCATTTGTGGGTTTTTTTCGTTCTTTGTTTCCCCCGGATCTGTATGGCCAGCAGTTTATCTCTCTCCCTCTCCCCAAAGAAAACCAGCTTTTGGTACACCAGTGCTAACTGTAGCATTATTTATAATAGCCAAAATGCAGAAACAAGAAACAACCCAAGTGTCTACAGGATAATGGATGCCCTAAATGTAGCATATGTTCATGCAGTAGAATATTGTTGTTGTTAATGTGCCATGGAGTCGGACCCGACTCATAGCGACCCCTCCTTGGGTTTC